CGCTGTAGGACAGATAGCCTACATTTGTACTTGCATGTCAAATTCTTTGTCAAAAACAGTTTGTGCTTGTTATTAGACATGGTAAGGTTTAGTTGTAGGCTAAAGCGCGTTTTAAACGCGCGGGTGATTTTTTGTTTCACTTTCTCTAGCAGCGCAATATCAAACATATCCTAAATGTCTCGCCTCTGTGGAGGATAAAATTCGCTCTTCAGACCATTTTACATCAAGTAGAAAACATGAAGATATCATGAAGTCTCTTTCCTGCTCGTGTCCCACATCCACATCCCTCTCAAATAGTGGTATGCTATATAAGGGGTCTTTGTGTGGTAGCCTAATATAAAACGATTTTTTTTAACAACCCCCCCCAACCACCGCCAGTAGTTGGTCCATTAACACCAAGGTGGTGAAAAAACTGCCACAGTCACAGCTCTAAATATAATAAGATAACCTTGTTTGAAATACTATATTGACTGTGTTAAATAGAATTGAATTACAATTTTCAATGATTAAAACTAGACTAAATGTCATCAGTTACCGTCGACTAAAACTTGACTAGACTAAAAAGAGTATGAATGTGACTAAAACTAACAAAAACTAAAATTACAGCTTGACACAAAGACTAAAACTAAAATTAAAACAGGCCGCCAAAAACAACACTACTTATATGTCAAAAGTTCAAGAATTGTTTTATTTCTCAGTTCATCACCCCTTTAATAAAACTTGTGCACAATATCTATTTGGTTCTGTTTCACGCTTGCAACAAAGTTTATTTTACGATTTAGATTTTGACTAAAGGCTCTTAGTACTGTGGAGTAAGAAAGACATTTTCCTCCCCCGGAAATTAATATTTCTTAGAATTAATAAACAATTAACCCTGAGTGTTCACGGGACAAACAGGTGGGTTGATTGTAATATTAATTGTACTACATTAAGGTAGTACAATTAATGTACAAAGACACGATAAGTATTTGGTTTACTCCATGACTTCGATAGTTCGTCATGGAGGTCCTCGAGGAAAGGGAGAGAATGGTGTTTCATATTTCAAAAAATGAACTAGTTCATAGTTCTTTTTTTCCATATGTTGCTGCGAGCTTTTTTTTTTTATTCATTATTTTATTATTGCCACAGCCCATATACAACCACAGACAGCAATTATTTTATCGATGGGCAAAGTTTGCACAGAAATGTAAGATTTTTCCTATCCTCACCGACCTTGTCATAAAACTCGTTTAAATGATCATACGACGCCTCCTCGCTCGCTGCTTTGTCGACTACATGCTGCTTTTTGTTTTGATGGCGCATGCGGCGGTGCGACACTGGTGGTTGGTGTTGCCAGATTGGGTGTTTCTTTCGCTACATATTAAGGCCCGTTTACAATGTGTTTTAGCCGGGTTTTCGCCTGGAAGGCTCTATAGAAATCTGGCACCCTATTGAACGAAGTTAAACTGAGAGAGTGTGCGTTCACAGACACCAGAATGAACGAGTTCACAGTAACGTTCATCAGGCAGTAATACAGTACGTTCAGTTCACATTCGCCCAAAATATGAACGAGTTAATGAACTATCGTTCATTGAACGCGTTCAGGCACAACACTGATACAGAGATAACCGGAGTAGCAGAGCGAGCTGAGTGACGCTTTCAAGAACGCACTGTTCCTGGTATTGAGAATGTCGGTGCTTGTCTTCTTGTGACAAACAGCCACATGCCGAGAAGCAATATGACGCTTTCTTCTTCGCACGAAAATGACGTTGATCGCTTCTTTCCAGCATATAGGCTACACCACGCCTATCAAGTGAGGGTACTGTTGGTGGTGGAAACGCAAGCCGGATCAGGGTTTACCGACCCGAATCGTACCGTACTGTTTGGTGGAAATGAGCCTTTATTGCGCTCTTATTCTACAATGCTCAGTCTGTTATTCGTGCATACCCGCAGGCCGAAATGAAAAAGAACTTCAATCGGAGGTCGTATAATCATAGTGCTTCTAGGTGAGAGAGCACGGCAGAGAGGGAGAGAGCGAGAGACCTTGCGTGTGTGCTTGAAAGCTAGTCTCACAACCCCCCCCCCCCCCCCCCGGTCAACAACTTATTCAAACCCGCTGATGATGTCACTCTTGCCTGTCTTCAAAACTTGAGAGCCCTGAGTCCATGTAGCAAAACCCAGTCAAGGCCATCACTGCCCTTAGGCCTCAACTAACATTCAAATGGAAGTATGGGTGACATACATTCACCGGCCACTTTATTAGGTACCCCATGCTAGTAACGGGTTGGACCCCCTTTTGCCTTCAGAACTGCCTCAATTCTTCGTGGCATAGATTCAACAAGGTGCTGGAAGCATTCCTCAGGGAGTTTGGTCCATATTGACATGATGGCATCACACAGTTGCCGCAGATTTGTCGGCTGCACATCCATGATGCGAATCTCCCGTTCCACCACATCCCAAAGATGCTCTATTGGGTTGAGATCTGGTGACTGTGGAGGCCATTTTTAGTACAGTGAACTCATTGTCATGTTCAAGAAACCAATTTGAAATGATTAGAGCTTTGTGACATGGTGGAAGTAGCCATCAGAGGATGGGTACATGGTGGCCATAAAGGGATGGACATGGTCAGAAACAATGCTCAGGTAGGCCGTGGCATTTAAACGATGCCCAATTGGCACTAAGGGGCCTAAAGTGTGCCAGGAAAACATCCCCCACACCATTACACCACCACCACCAGCCTGCACAGTGGTAACAAGGCATGATGGTTCCATGTTCTCATTCTGTTTACGCCAAATTCTGACTCTAACATCTGAATGTCTCAACAGAAATCGAGACTCATCAGACCAGGCAACATTTTTCCAGTCTTCAACTGTTCAATTTTGGTGAGCTCTTGCAAATTGTAGCCTCTTTTTCCTATTTGTAGTGGAGATGAGTGGTACCCGGTGGAGTCTTCTGCTGTTGTAGCCCATCCGCCTCAAGGTTGTGCGTGTTGTGGCTTCACAAATGCTTTGCTGCATACCTCGGTTGTAACGAGTGGTTATTTCAGTCACTGTTGCCCTTCTATCAGCTCGAACCAGTCTGGCCATTCTCCTCTGACCTCTGGCATCAACAAGGCATTTCCGCCCACAGAACTGCTGCTCACTGGATGTTTTTTCTTTTTTGGACCATTCTCTGTAAACCCTAGAGATGGTTGTGCGTGAAAATCCCAGTAGATTAGCAGTTTCTGAAATACTCAGACCAGCCCTTCTGGCACCAACAATCATGCCACGTTCAAAGTCACTCAAATCACCTTTCTTCCCCATACTGATGCTCGGTTTGAACTGCAGGAGATTGTCTTGACCATGTCTACATGCCTAAATGAACTGAGTTGCCGCCATGTGATTGGCTGCTTAGAAATTAAGTGTTAACGAGCAGTTGGACAGGTGTACCTAATAAAGTGGCCGGTGAGTGTATATTTAAAGGAACAGTCAGTATCGCCCTCTACTGGCTCATTTCCTTCAGAACAGTATCTGCCGGGTACTTTCCAGTATCATGCGCTAAAATATTAAAATAGGCAAGGCTTAAAAACACAAAAATTACTGTTTCTTGGGAAGTTACCAGGTAGTCCTCTTCAAAACGTTAGCAGGCAGAGAGGGACTGTCAATCTGCAACGTCACATGTTCCACATCAACGCTTAGCTGCCCTCAGAAGTGCCTGACTATTAATCGGCCTAATTTACAGCACCGTCGGCCGATGCCAATTCATTCAAAAATGCCCAAAATTTTTACTACCTCTAATACAGACCTCAAAAGCACTTTAACATCATGAGCTAAAACAAATTTATAACCAAGTGAAAGTTAAATTAATACATTGCTTATTTCTAGCAAAAAATTATAATTTGGGGGGACATTTGTAACTTTTTGGTTACACTATTTTATCAAATCTTTTGAAATAAAATAAAAATAAAATCTGCTACACTCTAAAGCTGTTTTTTCCCTACTAAATGGTGTAACTTAATGTGAAGCAAAAAAGAGAGCTTGTGTTGCTACAGGGTGAGGTGGGCTGTAACACTACAGAAACCATGAGCATTAGTTAATATTAGCTATTACATCAGTGGTTCTCAAACGGTTTTGGTTGCGCCCTCCTTTCAAACTTTAAAAAAAATATGGCGAAACAAATCTTTCCGCTTTTATATATATATATATATATATATATATATATATATATATATATATATATATATATAAAAGCGGAAAGATTTGTTTTAAATTGAAAAACGTGCAATGAAAAACAGGAATAGTTTCAATTTGTCATGTCATTGAATCATAACAGTAAGAGAGAATAATAGACCAGAACTTGAACTTTAACTTTAAATAAACAACAACATTTAAATAATTAAGTGATGTTTTGGCTGGACACTATATAAAAGCGCCAATATATAGCAGCTTTGGGGAGTACCTCACGAGCTCAGCTTCTTGTTGGTCTTCTCACCGGAACGCGCACAGAGCCGCGTTCACAATAGCAGCTTGTGATTCGGTCCGCTGAAAGAGGTGTTTTTCTATGGCGAGCAACTTCTGTGTTGGGCTTGTTCCAACGGTCTGAAGAAGAACGATTCAGTGTAATTGCCGTTCGTTGCCGCTTTATAAAGGCAGAGCGCTAACCGCTTTCACGCACTTGAACGGCGTAGTAACGTAACGGCTGTTTGTTTTTTGTTCTGTTTTTTTCTGCTAATCTCCCGCGCCCCCCTCTGCAGTAACCTTGCCCCACACTTTGAGAACCACTGTATTACATGATGCATTAAATGTTAACTTCTTTAGATCCTCTTCCTCGTACACTTTGAGCATGTCATTTAAAGGCTGTTTCTGTATTCCTTAAAGTCCTTAGAGTTCAACAAATCATTGTTTAGGGCGTCACAAAGTTTGATCTTACTTACATGTTTGATATAGTTAATGATTTGTTGAACACTGTGGGCACAATCAACAATATTTACTGAAACAGATGTGATAGACAAGTTATTAAGGGCAGTAATCTTCTTTCTAAAGCCCCCACGCCGTCGCAGAAACTCTGACTGCAGTGAAGTCAGCTGTGCTTCAGTTCGCAGTCTTGATCACCCTCCTTCTTTCAGACGTGAGTTTGTCAACTACATTATGAACTTTTCCTGTCACGTTGTTTTTGATCAGCAACATCTGATGTCACAAATAATGTAACAGTAATTCAAAAGTTATTTATATTGTTATTTATTTATTAATATCATTGTTGAAAATGCTTAATATCAAATACAGGTGATGGAAATCAACCGGTGGGGAATCGGTAAGCTTTTCTTCCTTGTGTTAGCCAGTTAAATAACATCATCTTGTTGTGTTGACCTTAAATGTCAACTTGCAACAACAAACGGCCCTATCTGATCTCCAAATGAATTCTCTCTCTCTGTAGATCCCGTCATGATGCCACCCTCATTAATCCAGGTCCCCCAAGACTTTACCAACTGAACAAAGAAAGAAAACATATTAATGGGACTGAAAAAAAGGTCAGACGATGGACATATGGACGAAGAGACAGAAACAAACAGAACAAAGTCATACTGATGGTGGGAGAAACCGGCGCTGGGAAAACCGCCATGATCAACACCATGGTGAACTACTTACTGGGAGTGAAGTTTGAGGATCAAGAGTTTTATCAAATCACAGAAGAAGAAAAACAAGAAGCTCAATCCCAATCCCTGACATCTGAGATCACAGTTTATGAGGTGTTTGTTGAAGACAACCCAACATCTCTGACCATCATTGACACTCCAGGAATCGGAGACACTGAAGGATGCGATAGAGAAAGAGAGATTTCTGATGATCTGGGCAGGTTATTTTCAGATGAGGATTTTCACTGTATTGATGCCGTGTGTTTTGTGATGAAGGCGTCTCAAAATCAACTCTCTGGAAAAGAGCATTACATACTCCAGTCAGTTCTGTCTCTGTATGGCAAAGATATAGAGAAGAACATAGTGTTCATCATAACACACTCGGATGGAAGACCTCCAACCGATGCTCTTAGTGCCATTGACACAGCACAGATCCGCTGCAGAAGAGATGAAGACAAGGAACCTGTTCACTTCTTATTCAACAGCCAGCAGGAAGAAAAAAGAGCACATGCTCACAAATCATCATGGGAAATGGGAGAGAAAAGCATGGAAAGGTTTTTGAAACTCCTGTTAGAAAACAACAGAGAACAAACTCCGATGCCAGTAGATGTCAGGAAACCGTTTAAACAACTTGAAGCCTGTGTCTTCAATCTAATAGACCGTATTACAGAGAAAGAGTTAAAAATCAAAGAACGGATTGAAATCCTGGAAGCCATACGACAGAACAGAGACAAGATCGAGAAATCTCAGAACTTTAAGTTTAGTGTGAACAAAACTGTCAAAGAAAAAGTCTTGATTGAATTCAAATTATTATCATTGAGCAATTACGCAACCTGCTGCCCTGTGTGTGAGGAAAACTGTCATCAGTTTGGTTGCTGGTGGGTCACTTTCAATGACCTCTCAGGATGTGACGTCATGAAAGACGGCCACTGCGCTGTGTGTACAGGGAGATGTCCTCACAGGAGACACGTCAAAGGTAATGAAAAATATGTGGTAAAGACAGAGAGAGTTGAAATGTCATTTGATGAACTTAAACAGAAGTATGAATCCACCGGTGACCTGCCTGAAACCAGCTTTGATCAAACAAAATATAAAGATGACACTAGAAAGGAACACGAAAAAGACAAGAAAGAGTCTGAAAATAAAACAAAAATAGAAGAAAACCTGAAGAGAGATCTGGAGAAGATTAAAGCAGAAAAGTCCACTCTGCTTTATGAAGCTTATAAGCTTATCATGAATCTGTCAAAGAACCTAATAACAACAGACTGGTATTTCACTGCTCAACATCTGGATTTTTTCATTCCCAGACTGGAGGAGGAGGAGGGAAAAGGTAAAAGGGTGCGGGACCTGGAGGAAGTGAGGACATCTTTAGAAGACTGGGAAAACAGATTTAGCCAGCAGAATTGGGTTGTGCGGGGAACGCGTTATCTGTCTGATCAAGTAACCAACCTTTTTCCCAGGAGACCCCCCGCAGAACAACAGCAGAAACATTTAAATAGTAACATTACCAACTATAACCAAATTTGACTTACATCATAATGTTGTCATGTACTATTTGATATTGACTAAAATGTTTTATAAAACGATAAACCTAATATTCCAGCCTTTATTCCAGAAACAGGATGAGTAAAAATTATTATAGGTATTTTATCAGATCAATGAATAATTCTAGATACCTTTTTATCCGAGTTGTTTCGATTTTCATAAAGCATATTAGCTTATTTTTCAGCACAAACAACCGTGCATACAAATTTGGTCTGAGTTTCACAAACAATAAACGCAGACAGATTGAATGAAAATGTAAATCCAGTGTCTGTCAGAAGGTGGCGCTTGTGAACAGCAGAAATACAGCCGTTTCCCGGTAGCCAAAGCAGCGCTGAGCTTATAAACACTTTACACGGAGGGAGGATGAACAGAAAATGTCATCTAAACTTCTCTCCAGGCAGCAGTTTCCTTCAGAGATACATTCATAGAATTCATTCATACTTTAATTCATATAATTTCCTCAGCACTTGTAAAATTTGTAAAACCTCTCTCACTTCTCTCCGCCATTTTTCAAACAAAACGAAACCTGCGCTGCAAGCCTGTGTCTGCATGAGACGGTTGCTTTCTTTGCTTAATTCTGGACAGTATTCACCATGAATTTTTCAAATCCTGGGAATTAAATACAGTTTTAATGATGATTAAAATATTAAACTGTAATACTAACCGCTGGAGATTGCATAGCGGTCTATTGTCAAACTGGTTATCGTTTCATCTCAAACCCTCAAACTAGAGTGAGCTTATAGCGACCCCTCGTGAATCTTTAGTGACCCCTAGTGCTACACTGCAAACAATAATACTGTAAAATAACTGTAATCTCCTGGCAGCTGTGGTTGCCAGTAATGAACTGTAATAATGTACTGCTCGTGTGTAAAAGTATTTAGCAAACAGCTTATCACTGCATCGGTGTGATGGCTAAGGCCACACTTAATAAACATTTCATTTGAATGGTTCTAGTTTTTCTCTTTCTTTTTTGTATGAGAAATTAATATTTCTTTTGCTTTAGGGGATGCATGTTTTTTCTACTTATTTGTACATTTTTATGTATTTCTTTTTTTTCATATTATTTACCCAGAGCGGTGCTACGTTGTCTCTGTATGCGTGCATTGAATATCAAAGAGTCTCAAAGCCAATAATTATTAATTACTAGAGTGCACCCTAGTGAGGGAATGAACCACAACAAAGAAATGGGCATGACAATGTATTTAATTTTATTTGAATGCGTGTATCTCACTCATGGTTCTGCCGGGATCATGACTGCAACATGGAACAATGGCTTGGAATTAAAAGGGTAAAGGTGTCCTTTATCGTTTGTTGGGAATTGTGGGAAATATAGTTTTTTGGAACAAATGTTAATTGGTAATTTGAATGTTTAAAGTATATATTTGTGTGTTTTTAAGTTTAGTATTACTTTATGGTAAATGTGATTTCATATTTTTATTGAGTTTATATATTTTTATATTACATTTTATATTACATATTGAGTTAATTGGATACATTTTTCTGTGTTTGAGTTAGTACTAGTGAGGGATCCCTGAGAAACACCTGAAACCCAGACACAGATGGGATGCTGTCCCATTTATTAGGTTTTTTCCCCTCTTTCTTCTGCACTATTTTGTGACCTGTACCTTAGTTGCAGTCAATAAAAATACACTTTTTCTTTGACTCTATGAGTGTCTCCTGAAATGTTTGTGGAAGATCCCTTACAATCAGCAACTACACAGTTACTGCTTTTAAATAAAGCAACATGCAGCATAACATCAGTGTTTCTCTGCTCATCTCTGCCTGAAGCACAGGCTCTGCTCTCCAGCTCAATGCAATCGCAATGGCGCAATATTTTTTTGTTATTTAAAGAGCGAGTTAGTAATTTGCGCCTGTAGGCGGGTTCACAACGCGCTTATACTCTGCTCATTACCACACAAACACACTCTGCTTATTACACACACAAACACACTCTGCTTATTACACACAAAAACATGCCAAATACTTCAAAATAAAAGGATTACAATATATGGTGGAATCTGACTTGTCCCGTAGATAGTCTGCTCGTGCGCTTTAACCTCTCACTCACTCTCTCACACACACACACACACAGCTTTAACCTTGCGCACGAGCAGATCCGTTTCCACTCTGGAGTTCAGTCTTTTCCACTATCAAATTCCATCATATAGCAAATCTGCCATGGCGCGAGCACAACTGGCTTTTAAAGGGAATGGGAGATGAGACTCTGCGTTCTCTCCATGTGCCGGGAGCGCCGACCATTCTTCCCGTCATTAAACTAGCAAAAGTGGATTCAGACCAACCTAAGTGGCCTTGCGCCCTGCGCTTTAGACCATGCGCTTAGATCCATAAAAAAGGGCTTAAAGTGTCTGGAGATTGGATTTAAAGCTCCAGTCTGGCGTTTTTCCTCTTTGTCGCCATCTCTGTTCGAAATCTGCAATTGAAAGTCATTCGCGGAATTATCAACTTTACAAATGAAGAGTTTGGTTCCAAAACGCAATAAATCCATTTAGATTAATTTGAGTAAAAATGTGTTTTCTTTACCAAGAAAGTGGAAAGATGAAAACCACTATTTTCTGTTTCAAACGTTCACATAGGATTTGTAGGTCATAATAACAAAAAAAATTAAAATCCAGGTTTTGATTTTCAAAGATTTATTATAAAAACGGATTATTTTTTCCCCCAAAATGCAATAAATCCATTAAAATAAAAAATAAAAATGCAATTAATCCATTGAATCAATATAAAAGTTTTTTTTTTCATATTGAAACTGTTGAAAATACACAACAACGTAAGTTTATTAGTATAATATTTTTATTAAGAACTGTAAAGAAGATTGAAAACATTTTTCCTCCTCCCGAGTGCCTCATCTTCTTAATCTCCTCACGTAAATGATTCGATTTCGATGCCTTACGTTTCTTACCCACCGCAGAAACAACCACAGGTTCATCAATGCCTCAAAATTATTCATTTTTTTGTTTGTTTGTTGATCGAAAAGTACAAAATCGATAAGAAGAACTAGGAAGCCGGGTGTATTTAAGCGCTGCCGTTACTGTTTACATTGCGTGGAATGGTGCGTTGTGATTGGTTGAGAGCGGATATATCGCATTCTGCAGAGAAGGGAGACTGGCGTTTGTCGCGGTTTGGAAAGAAAGGGAGAAAACATGACAGAATAACACGGCGGATATCGCATTTTACTTAAAATTAAACATTGACTTTTCAATACCAACCAGATACAATACTGATTTTTGCAGTAACTAATTTTTTTTCAAAATGGCGTTTATCGCGTTTTGGAACCAAACTCTTCAAATGTCGTCCACCCTCGGCGCGGCACAGCGCGGATGAACACAGTGTTTGAGGAGAGTAGTGTGTGTCTGTCAGTCACCGCGCCGGTGTGGATACTGGCATTCAGAATCACAGATTATTCTTTTTGGAAGTATGACCAACATAATAATTTTTCTCCGGAAAATGTCCTCTGAACAAGTAAGAAACATCCACTTTTGTTCTGGTTCTGACATTGCAGTAAATCACGCTGATTAAATCTAACAATCGCGTATAAGTTATCATATCACGCAAAACCGTGCAAATTATACTTTGTTCTCAAATTGTTAATGTTACCAACGTCAGCATTGCGTGACTACATGTAATGTCCTTCCGATATTATCCTTGTTTTCACATGGGTCCGGTTGCAGTCTCTGCTTTCTGTAAGTTAGCCACTCCGAAGTCTTTTGCATTTTACAGCGGGTGAGTCTCCAGTTGTCACTGATGATCGTCGTTTGAACCTTTCTGGATCCGCCATCAAATTAATAAGTTTAATTATATCCAGTGCTGTGAGAAAAGGCTATAAATCTCCACCTCCAGCATCGTCACACTCAATATAGTCTACTAGCCGAGACTCTTCTTTATGTGTACAGATGTGTGTATGTGTGTGTACAGATGTGCTTATGTGTGTGTACAGATGTGACGTAATGACGCAAAGACTCGAATCTCCCGCGGAAATCCACCAGTACCACTGGAGTTAAAAACATTATTACAAGCTTACCGCTTTGGATCGAGCTACGGCAAGCAGATAGTTTTGAACACTGGCTGGTTATGTACTTGCTCAAATTTATTTTGGATAATTTTTAACCCCAAAAAAGCTACGGACTGCAGCTTTAATGTGGTAATAATAATAAAATAGTTATGATGGTTAATACAGGTCAGGTAACAAATCCAGTTTGTACAATGTTTACTGCTTAACGGAAAAAAAAAAATTGGGTTAAGTAATTCTCGACACTCGTCATTCATGGGTCCGCAGTGAGTGGTGTGTGTGTGTGTGTGTGTGTGATCGAGCAAGTGGCCTCAGTATCTGTGCACGTGGTAGGTACTGATCAATGAGGACGGGAACACCCAGGCCGGGAATCTCTTCAGAAGCTCGGAGCGCCTGGAGCCGGAGAAGTAATGAGCTGAGACGGGCAGAGTTTTAAATATTGAATGCTAGGGGTGTAAGTTCAACACCACAAAGCGCAAGACAAATGTCGTCCATTGTACAAACATATGTTCCCAACCCTTCTGCTAAGAAAATAATTATATATGCTTTTACTGCATCTCTCGTGTATCAACCAGGTGATGATACATGTACGTATAAGATACTTGAAGATACAGTTCAAGATACTTGGACGTTTCATTTTCTGTATGTAAAGTCCAGTAATTCCACATCTGGAAATCCCTAAACTGTTCAGACTTCAAAGTACACACTTGGTTTGAAAGATTTGAGATTTAAAGTGCCACTGTGTTGATGTAATTTCCACTGAAACAGGAAGAAGGGGCGGGGCATATCGAGTAGCTCCTCCCCTTTTTAAAATAGCCAATAACGTTTATATTACAGCTCGGCCAGAGCCATTGAGCAAAGCAGCATTTGACAATTTATGACTTATGCCACAGTCAGTTTCCCAATGGAAAGCATTTACACTGTCTGAATCGTTCCCTGACCCCTATATAGTGCACTATCCATTCATCATGTACACTCTAAAAAACACTGGGTTAAAAAGAACCCAATGTGGGTTGTTTTCAACCCAAGTGCTGGGTAGATATAGGAAAGAACACATTTTGGGTTAATTTTACACAGCAAATTGGGTTGTTTATTTAGCCGAGGATAATGCTCTGGATCTCGTGCACTTGTGTCGTGTTCAGCGGGGAACTTCTAACTTCAGACGCCGGCCTGCGATTCACCATAGACGAAATATGCTGTGACTCCATAACCTGTCCATAAACAGACAGTGTACAGTTCTGAGAACATATTTTAACACCATACGTATTTGTATTCGGTATATTTTTTAATAAATCATACAATTTTATGCAAGGCATCAGGCGTTTCCATCACGCGAAAAGACAGACACAAGTCACGTGACGTCCGGCCCAGGAGCTAGATAAATAGCTCAATCCATGGGTTGTTATACTTATCCAAGATCTGGGTAACACAAGAAAACGTCTCAGGTTACAAATGTAACCTTTGTTCCCTGAGAACAGGGAACGAGACAATACATCATCGACGTTATGGGGAACGCCTCAGGCGTGACAGGTGTCTGAAATCACTATCAAATCACGTCAATCACATTGACCGGCGACAGCCCGTGAATCATTAGCGTGAATGATTAACGTGCGACCTGGAAGTATATAAGGGCGCCTTGCAAACATGACAAATCACCTTATCGTCTGAAGGGACTGTACGGCAGGCAAGCCCCGAGGCATGGCAGGGAGACGTATTGTCTCGTTCCCTGTTCTCAGGGAACAAAGGTTACATTTGTAACCTGAGACGTTCCCTTTCGAAGGGAACTCAACAATACGTCATCGACGTTATGGGGAACGATATACCCACGCCGCCATGCTGAGGGGAGTGCATGCCCTCAGGCAGTGACAACTGTCAGAACCAGCAAATTCAAATGAAATGCTAGAACCACTCACCGTCAGGTCACACTGGGCTGTCAGTGACAGCATTCCCTACGGTCATAGCCCAAGCTATAAGCCTAGCAGGAAAACCTCCATAAACATGGTTAAATGAGAAGCCTACCCGGGCCTGCTCAAAGGCCTAGGACCACAACTTCAATTAGAAGGGGTCCCTTCTAGGGAATGTGGCTAGGGAACCCGAAGGAACCCCAGCCAGTCACTATTCAGGGGAACGTACTCACCCCGAAGTGCCACCAGGACGGCCTGACCTGGCGTCAGATACATAGACACTTAGTCTGGCCACTTCCTGTCTGTCCGAAGACAGAGCCTCTGGAAAAAAGCCTTAAGTAAGGCATCCAACCCGAGGGACTGCGACGCTGGCAGTGAACCACTCGGCCCGGATCTCAGAGACGGGATATCCCGGAGAGTATGACTCAGCATAGTGCTTTCCAACCCTTGCTAGCGAGGGGAGTTTCTCTACTCGATCCACGGATCAACCCAGTGTCTGTGTTTCAAAACACTGAGGAGGCCTGTGAAGGCCTAAGGACTGATCTAACTGGGAGGCCTCACGAGAGGCCTACGACCGTCTGACCAGACTCAGGAAGCCGCATGCTCATAGAGACCCTCAGTGAGGGGAGCACAAGGTCTGCCTGGTAGGCAAACCAGGCTGTAGGCAGGAAAGGTTCCAGGAGGGAACAAATAGCAGAGAATAAACACTTTAGCGAGCCAGGGCGCAAGCTCGCCCTCAGCAGCTGCCTATTAAGGCTAGCTGAAACTGATAGCAAGAGGCCACTAGCTTCATAAACCCAGCACCATTAGAGAAACATTACAGGGAGGCCCGGAGAGGCCTACTACCTGATAACCCCAGTATGTGGGGTACTCCACCTTCAGGGAGGCCCAGAGTGGCCTACTACCTGATAACCACAGTATGTGGGGAGCTCACCTTCAGGGAGGCCTGGTGAGGCCTGCTACCTTACAACCACAGTATGTGGGGAGCTCACCTTCAGGGAGGCCTGCTACCTTACAACCACAGTATGTGGGGAGCTCACCTTCAGGGAGGCCTGGTGAGGCCTACTACCTGATTGCTACAGTCTGTGGGAACTCACCTTCAGGGAGGCCTGGTAAGGCCTACTACCTGATAGCAACAGTATGTGGTCACCCACAGGGAGGCCTAGAGAGGCCTACTACCTGATAACCACAGTATGTGGGAACTCACCTTCAGGGAGGCCCGGTGAGGCCTGCTACCCTACAACCACAGTATGTGGGGAGCTCACCTTCAGGGAGGCCCGGTGAGGCCTGCTACCTTACAACCACAGTATGTGGGGAGCTCACCTTCAGGGAGGCCTGGTGAGGCCTGCTACCTTACAACCACAGTATGTGGGGAGCTCACCTTCAGGGAGGCCTGGTGAGGCCTACTACCTGATAATCACAGCATGTGGGAACTCGTCTTCAGGGAGGCCTGGTGAGGCCTACTACCTGACAGCCATAATATCTGGGAGCTTTTCCTGCTACCCGATAGAAAGTCAGGCTAGCTGTCCAGTTGTCTGTCCTTGGGCTTGTCTCCAGGGAGGCCTGGTGAGGCCTACTACCTGATAGCCAATGTCGGTGAGGATTCGTATTTCAAGGAGGCCGGTGAGGCCTACTACCTGATAACCATCTTAAGTGGGAATTCACCTTCAGGGAGGCCTGAGTGGCCTACTACCTGATAGCAACTGGTAGCTGAGTTCGGGTGACAGTTCCAAGGCGGCCTGCTAAGGCCAACCAGCTGGGGACTCGCCTTTCAGGGAGGCCTGGTTGGGCCTACTAGCTGATAGCAAGTCAATTCTGCTACAAAGAAACACTGTTGGGAAGCACACTACACCAACATAACTATTGGGCCCACCCACAGGAGGCCTAATACAGCTAACTACCTGGTAGCGGCTACAGAGTATGTCCCACAATGTTGGGACTCACCTCCGAGGAGGCCTGTTTAAGGCCTACTACACCTCGGTGAGTCAACTGCCCGAACCACCAAGGCCAACCACGAGAAGTAAGCTGGCCTATAGCGCCCTCTCGGGGGCTGCCCGTACAAGGAGCCCTGCTGAGGCCTACTACCTGATGGCGCAGCCTTCGTTGGCAGATAAGCTGTTTACACAGCGCCTACAGCATCCTGGTGCCTAATCACATTGCCCATGGCAGTGTACTCAGCAAGAGAGCCTAGCACCCTTAAACAAGGGGAGTACAACATACGCCACTCTGCCTCAACGGAGGCCCCAGTTAGTCAGGGGCCTACCATCTATGCATGGGCGTCAGCACAGGGCAATGCTCTGGCTTCAGGGGAGCATCCTTCGACCAAAGAAGAAGTGAAGGTTTACTTCATACTCGACCCGAGCCATAGTGGTGCGAGGTAGGATATAACAGAACTGGGAGTGAAGTACTCAAACCTACCCTGTACCCAGGGGAATACTCACACCTCACCCTGAGGTTACCAGCTGCGGGCCTGCCAGCGGCTCGGGGTGACAAAAATGTATCTGTGCCCAACCTAGGGGAGTGGGGCTTGAATGAAAGCCAACCACCTCAACCCAGCGCTCGAGCAGTAGCTCAGCGAGGTGAGTAAAGCCTATACTGGCGGCCTAAAACCGTAGGCCAGTTCTGCACGGCAGGGTCGGGCAGGAGACTCAGTCTTCTTCGTGAAGCGAAAGACGGCCTAACCCTGCTCAAAAGGACTTATATACCACGGAGGCCTAACTGAGGCCTACCATGTCCTTATAAACCATCCTCTGCACCACGCTGCATTACTCTAGTCACCCCAGAATGCAGAGAAGGGGGCGGGCCTTGGCCTAACGACTCCCATGGGAGGAGGCTGATTATACAGGGATGCCAAAAACCTACATTCACAAAGTGAAGGGTCAGAGGAAGAAATGCTAATTTTAGCAGAACGCCTCTAATATCCCTGGCACAGCCTAGGCCAGCTACAGAGGCGGCCCTGGTGAGGGCCAACCTGTAAGCATAGATCTATCTGAGGGCTCAGAGGAGCCACAGCCTACTAAAGAATATAGTCTGTATTATTCCATACAAAGGGCTGCAGAACGCTCAACCTAATGAAAACTCAACAGAGCTCAAGGGGCGAAATACTCAGAAAAAGTCAAAACGGTCCCATGGGCCGGACATAAGATCTATCTGAAGCTCTAGCGTCAGTCAACACTCTAAGTAAAACATACTATCAGAGAGAGACCAACTACTCTACCCTGAGGTGGCTAACAGCCCAAAGGCTAACATAGTTATCGTTCAGGCCACCTAACGGGGAACTTCAGGGCCCTAATAATCCAATAAAGTTACCTTACCTTTATTACCTTGACATGGCCCCATAACTCTTTATACAGGGAACGAGGTCTGTAAAGAGAAATATGTTATTTTTTATCACAAAAAATATACTCCTTGAAAAGACCAGCAGCTCACCTGCGGCGTGCAAAGTGAAGACTCGCCAGACAGTTCTTCATGAACATGGGGTCTACCACCTTTACATACCTGAAAGAG